TTTGGGGTTTAGGGCTTATATAGGGTTTAGGGTGAATTCAGGGCTTGGGTGTTTTAGGTTTCAAGGTCTACAAGGATACAAACATGATTGGCGGGGGCTTCAGGTTCAAGTGTCTTGGTTAGGGTTTAGGGTTTAGGGTGGTGTTTAGGTGTTTGAGGCATTTGGTGTCTAGGGCTATCGAGTTTAAAAGAGAGTGCTTCAAGCCAGGGGCACTCAAGGTCCGGAGTTTCCTGAGCCTGGCTTTAGGATTTTCGGGCCAAAAAAGTCTTTGGTTAAGGGCTTTAGGGTTCCGGGTGTTCAACGTCGGGTGTTTTGTGCTAAACATCCAGGCTTCTGTATTTCTACATCAAGGCGGAAGATTACAACCCAGTGTGTTTTTTCGCACCCGGCGAGAAAGAACAAAACAAAGGTGGCCTTCCAGTCGATCGAACGGGGGCTTTGGGTACCTTACTGTAGGTATATTTAGCGAATCCTTAACTCAGAATTTTGCATGCGCTACTCATTAGCCAGGCCGCTGTACATTCACTTTGAATCCTGGACACCACCTCTTGTCCCTTTCCTTTGGTCAGGGTGTCCCGGAATTCGAGGCTTTCAAACTCTGAAACCGTAAACTCCTTCAGGATAGAGAGGGCTTAAGGCCATAGGGTTTAGGGTTAGGGTTTAGGGCTTGAGGTTTCACATGTTTTTTGGCCTGCATTCCATGCCGGGTGGCGGCCGTTGCCATCAGTCACCGCTTTGTGCAGAGGGTACTGATGGCTCGTAGACATGCAGGATCCTTAGCAGCTCAATCCTAGGGTTTAGGTTTAGGTTTAGGTTTAGGGTTTAGGGTTTAGGGTTTAGGGTTTAGGGTTTAGGGTTTAGGGTTTAGGGTTTAGGGTTTAGGCAGCTATAAGGACTTCGTGCTTTGGCGCTTAAGTTGGGGGTTAGTTTTGGGAGCTCAATATAGGGGCCTTAATAATTAGAATAGGGTGTTGGGGCCCCTATTCTAAGTATTAAGACCCCCAAACCCTAAGCCCTTATAGCAGCTTCTATAAGGAACCCTTTAAAGGAACCCCCAAAAACCCTATTCTAATTATTAAAGCCCCCCCTCTATTGGGGGTTCCAGGTTGCATGGCCAGGGTCCAGGGTCGCCAGGGTTGAGGGTTTAGGGTATAGGGCTTCGGGTTTAGGGTTTAGGGCTTAGGGGTTTAGGGTTTAGGGTTTAGGGTTCAGGGCTTTGGGTTGAGGGATTAGGGTGTAGGGTTTAGGGTATTCGAGGCTGGCTGAATCTATGTTAGAGCTATAGAACTCGGCTTAAGGGCTTAAGTCTGAGGCTTTGAGGGCCTATTGGGTTTATAGAGCTTGTCCCATGAACCCATAACCCAAGCAGGTCCCGACACCTCAAATTCTGAACATTGCGCCCTGAACCCTTTTCAAAACCCAAAATCCGAACGTGTTTTGGTCTTTCAAGGCTTTCATAATGGCTTTCACAAGGGTGCTAAGGTTAATAGAAGGGTCTAGAAGTATATAAAGGCCTTATTAGACTTTATAAACCCTAAACCCTTAAGACCCTTCGGATCAAAGGACCCCCCCCCCCCCTCCCCCCCGCAAAAAAAAACTGCCAAACTCTGTCAAGCGGCTCTGTGCCAAACAGTCCCCACGTATTCATGCGATGATACACCCTAAAAGCGAATGCTCCCCCTCTTAAGTTGGAAACTGGACGGGTGACAGCTTCCTAAAATGAGCATTTTAACCTTCGAGCCTGTAGACTTTCCAACCGTAAAACTCACTTAACCTTCGGCACCATTGTCGTTCTACGGAACTCACTCTTGAACAAGCTATTGAGTTGCGTAGGCCTGGGTGGGGGAGGTAACAAGGAAAAACTCTGTCCTGTAGAATCTCCCCCAGGGAATCGGTTGAATTGAGATCGGGAGCCGTGGCTGCCCTGCAGAAACCCAACCAGAATTGAAAACCCCTAAACCTTGTACCCTAAACCCCTCAGCCCAACCCCCAAAACCCTACACCCTAAACCCTAAACCCAAAAACGCCTAGACCTCTAAATCCTAAACCCCTAAACCCTTAAACTACTAAACCCTAAAACCCTTAACCCTAAACCCTAAACCCTAAACCCTTAAACCCTAAACCCTCAACCTTCAAACCCCAAACCCTCAACCCTAAAACCTAAACCCTGCCCACAACCAAGAAACCGAGCGGCTGGTCTTCTTGGGAGCAGCAATGTCAGGGAAGCCCTGACTCTTCAGCCAGTTGATGACCTCCACCAGGGGTTTGGGGCATCCCTAACGTAGACAAATGAATAACCATGCCTGGACCTTTGGGGTTTAGAGTTTAGGGTTTGGGGTTTAGAGTTCAGGGTTTGGGGTCTACGGTTTAGGGTTTGGGGTCTACGGTTTAGGGTTTGGGGGTTAGGGTTTAGGGTTTGGGGTTTGGGGTTTAGGGTTTGGGGTTTAGGGTTTCATTAGGTTAGGACCCCTTTCTTGGAGTTAACCTTGTTCTTGCTTCAAGAGCTGAGTTTTGGCATGGTCAGGTCCTGGGGTTGAAACTCTGGACGCAGGGCGACTAGCGCTAAACCCTCAACCCTAAACGATTAGGGTCCCTACCTTAAGAACCTAAAACCTACTTTTTTGTAGGGTCCCTATAAACCCCATATTAGGGTCTATGATAAGAGCTTACACAAAAGTGAGTTTTGGGTTCTTAAGGTAAGCCCGAAACCCTAAACGATTAGGATCCCTAAACCCTAAACCCTAAGCCAGCTGACGAGGAGCAAATTGACTAAAGCTGCACGGTGCGAGCAACTGCATATGGACAGCCGCAAACTGTCAAGATTCCAGGCCGATTCGGGTCAGTAAAATACTATATATGGTAAACTGTATACTAGATACTATCCACCATGCTATGTTTGACTTTTATGCCATGTGAACACTGACAGCAACAGCAACGACCTCACGGCAGGCATTCCTAGGATGATGTCATGCGTACCACGCTGCACGCCTCGGTGCGCCTCTGGCGCTCCTCTTGATCCTGCGATGGGACATACCTATAGGCTCCATTGTAGTTCCATCTTGGGCTTACCTTATGGGATCCTAATTCATAAACCACAAAAAATTGGAACTACAGTGGAGCCTATAAGAAGCTGCGGAGATTGGGTTTTTCGGGACTCGGGGCTGAGGATTCGGGTTGTGGGGATTTCGGGCTGGGCACTGCAAGCCTTGAGCATCGCTGGGCGACCTCACGGCTAGCCGACCTTAACAATGCTTTTGGGACTAATCCGGAAGCGAGCTCAGCAGCTCATGCTGGCCAGCAGTTTGCTCGTTCTGCGTGGCGAAGGCGTTGATTTCACGCTGTTTCGCCTCGACCTCCTCCTTGAGCGGGAGGTTGTCAGCTGCACAAGCATAAATGGGATTTAACAGTAACATCCCGACGACGACGCAGATGTGTATTGGAACAAGAACCATGGCCAACAACAACAAGCAGGTGTTGAAGATGGTGGATGGTGTGCTCAGCTCGCCGGCTGCCGGCCAGCTGCACGCGCCGAAACTTACCTCTTCCGTCAAAGACATGGAGGTCGCATTGGCCTCCGGCTGGAAGGATATCCCGAATTGGGACGTGAAACATGCCAAGGCTTCCCGCGAAGCAGTGGCCGGCTCCAGGAACTTTTCGCGTAGCACCGGGAGGCCCATGGGCCTCCCAAGTGAGCCGAGCGGCAAAAGACCGTTCGGGAGATCCAGGAAGCAAAGGGCCGCCCAGGCGATGAAACGGAGCAGAATTGAAGCGGCTGGAATGAAGCCAGGGCCCTTTGCAATTGATGCCCGGCTCCTGAGGAAGGACTTCGTCTGGTGACCCACCATAGCAAAGCCAACTGTAAAGAAAGTAGTGACAGCCACCTGGAGAAAATCCTGCGAGCCAGCCCACCAGGCTGCAGCGCCATTCGCCATGCCGCCAAGGAGGTAGCCCGGTACAGTGATGATGGGGTGCAAGACGGCGCTTGCCACGGCGAAGGCAGCAAGCTCCGCCGCAAAGGCACCCCAGTACCAGGCAGAGAGCAGGACGGCCTTGACTGGACGAACAGCTTTCAATGCATTTGCACCTGCATCCGCGCCAGTGCTTACCTCACAGGGTCTTGAAGAAGGTTTCCATATCGGCAAGCTGTTACCGCAACGTGCATAAACAGCTTGAGAAACCGATGTAGCAATGCTTGTATTGCATGGACCCTGCACATGTTGGCCGGACCCTCATTTCACGTCGAGACTTCGCTACGATAGCTGTATTGGCGATGAACCAAGACATGTTTGCGAGGGTAACACTCAAACCCACAGCTTCTTCTTAGTATAGGGGCCTTAATAATTAGAATGGGGTTGGGGGGGGATGTATTTAGAATAAGGAACCCCGCTGATTGAGGCCCCTACCTTTAATCTCCATTATAGTTCCTTGTTTTGGTTAACCAAATTCATGGTTAGGATCCTATATTACAGATTTGGCAAATGGAGACTATAGGTACATTAACTGTTTCCAAGAACACCTCGCCTCTACCTGCAGCCGGCCTTCGGCCATGGCCTTTGCGGAGGTGCAGAGCCCAAAGAGGCAGCTTGCCGCCTGTAGAGGAGTAAGCTGAAGCAAGGTTGCGCCGTAGGGCCCCATGACCCCGGTGCCAGGGGCTTCGATGTTCCTCTCACCTTAGCTAGCCGCGATTAGAACCAGAATAAACATAAAATAGTCGTATTATATAATCGCCGCTTAATAATCGCCTTGAGTCATACTATTATAATACAGATACAAACATATAATTTCTAAGAGCAGTAAAGTCACAGGCGAGCATCATCTGCCAAGCATCGGTCAACACTCCCCGAGTCACGCACAGCCGTGCTTCACCCAGCAGATCGAAGCGTTTCAGCTTGCTAAGCTTCGACATCTCGTGAATTGTGCCTGCCAGGTTCACGAAGACAAATAGGCTCATGAATCCTGCAAACCACCAATCTCTGTGGTATAGAAAAGTGCCGATCTGCACCACGTCGTTCACGACGTCCTAAGGGGGGGAAACGGGCATTCGGGATGCGGGCGGGCCCGGAGACCCTCCAGACGCAGCTAGGTACTCTGGAAAAGTACGTGTAATGTAGGGGCCTCAACTATTAGAATGGAATTTTGATTTTGGGGGTATATCATACTATAATTCTTAGTATCGTCTTACAGCAAGGCCCAGGCGCAAGAAGGTACATGCCAAGCTGAACAAAGATGCCCGAGGGTGGACAGAAGCTAAAGGCGAAGATGGGCACATAGCCTTCGGGGACAACCATGGCGGCGCCAGATTCCGAAGCTCTCTCTCAAAACATGCGACGATGTTCGCTAGTGGGAGCTCAGGAATCGTGCGCTGTTGGCCCGAACCCCAAGATAATTTAAGGCTGTGCGCCGCAGCACATGCTCTTGAGAAGAGTACCTCGATGCCGAAGCCGTTAGCTGAACCGCGCTCAACACTAATTAACAGGGGCCTAAACAATTACCAATACCATTTTGGTGGTTTCTTATTTATTGTAGTATAATGTACTCCAAAACCCTATTGTATTTAGTAAGGCCCCAATATCA